GTCCTCTGGCAAATTGGAAAAAGAAGAAAAAGAAAACAAAAGGAAAGGAAAGGAAAGAAAAAAGGAAAAGAGGAGAGGAGAGGAGAGAAGAGGAGGAAAAGAAAGGAAAGGAAAGGGAAGGGAAGGGAAGGGAAGGGAAGGGAAGGGGAAGGAGAAAGGGAAAGGGAAAGGAAAGGAAAGGAAAGGAAAGAAAAGAAAAGAAAAGAAAAGAAAAGAAAAGAAAAAAGAAAAGAAAAGAAAAGAAAAGAAAAGAAAAGAAAAGAAAGAAAAGAAAAGAAAAGAAAAGAAAAGAAAAGAAAAAAGAAAAGAAAAGAAAAGAAAAGAAAAGAAAAGAAAAGAAAGAAAAGAAAAGAAAAGAAAAGAAAAGAAAAGAAAAGAAAAGAAAAAAGAAAAGAAAAGAAAAGAAAAGAATACCCCTTAGGATCCCCAGGGGTCATCCAGAGAATGATGTTACTCTGGGCAGGAAAAGCAGCAGACAGACTCAGAGGTTCAAAGAGAGCGGGCTAAAGAATGAGCCTGCTCAGAGAACTCCAGGTGGGCAAAGAGGTGAACAGTGACACCTTTACCCTGGGTAGGGGCTGGGTTTGGGGGACTCTCCCCTGACAGACAGTCCCACCTCTGCCTGACCCAGGCTCTCAGATCTCACCTAACATACTCAGTTCCAGAAACTGGACCTAAGCAGATAGCCAGACTCAGATTGGTAAGATTCCAAGCTGCCGATCTTGACTGAGACCAGGTCCTTCTGGGAGAACCCAGCAAGGCTAAATGGCCGTGCCCTACAGACCCATGTCAGATATGTAGTTCTGTCATCTTGTGACTAACCGTGCTCGCCAGGCCTGACCTCTAAGACCTAGACCCACATACCTGAGTCAGAACCATGCCCCAAGGACTTCACTGGTAAGATCCCAGGTGTACAAACCTCTAGCTCCAAAGTACTTGCTATCATGCTAACTTAGGTCCTGCAGACCTCCTGTGAGGCCCATAGGATTATGCCTGCCTCTATAGGCCCGAGGGGTACGGTACTCTATAGGCTTCACCACAAAGACCGAGGATTGCCTGAATTCAACTCATGAAAGAGCCAACTCTACCTACCTGTGTTCACCCTAACGCCTCAGGCCTCTTCACAAGATGACCCCTGGCACACCACACCAGCTTTGCCTACCTGTGCTTGAGCCCTGGCTCCTCAGACCACACATAGTGTACCAGCTCTACCTACTTGTGGCTAGACTGTGGCTCCTCTAACCAGCTCTGTCTACCTGACTCTGGCTTCTGAGGCTGCACCTGGAGGGTCAGTTCTACCATGACCCTGGGTCCTCTGACTGTACCCAGAAAGCTAGTTCTACTGACCTATACCTGACCCTGGCTCCTCAGACCACACCTGGAAAGGAAGCTGCACCTACCTGAACCTGCCCGGGTCCTTATACCGTACCTGGTGGGCCAGCTCTGCCACCTGGCCTTGATGCTGACTTCTGAGGTTGTACCTGGTAGGCCGGCATTCCCTACCTATGCTGGATCACAGCTCCTGAGACTGCACCAGGTGGGCCAGCTCTGCCTGCCTGTACCTGATACCTCCATGCTCCCACTTCATCCAGTCCGTCTGGTAATCCTTACCCGGGCATGACTATGACTTTTTAGATCTCCCTGGACACACCCAGTTTTGTGAACCTGCCTGATCTTGGTTCCACAGACCTTACCTGTCCTACCTATTTAGCTCAAGTTCTTCAGATTTTGAGCTACAGAGATACAAACCTGTGCCAGAAACAGACACCTCAGACTGTACCCAGGAAAGTCATTGGCATGGCCACAGCTCTTCAACCTCACCCAAGAGGCGGAGTTCTACCTACCTCTCATGACCCTTTCTGGAGATCTAGATCTGCTCACTTGTGCCAGATCCACGCTCCTCAGATCTCACTGGAGAGATCTAGCTTTCACCTGTCTTCACTTCATATCCTCAGAGGACATCTAGGGGACCCAGTTCTTTCCAGCTCCTCAGGCCTTACTGGACAGATGCACTTTACCTACCTGAGTCTGACCTCTACTCTGGGACAGCACCGAATGAATCTTAATGAATCCAAACACACTTTTTCAGGCCAACCTACCTCGGCTTGCCTTGGGTTTAATAGATATTACCGACAAATTCTAGACACCATTTGACCCAGCTCCTCAGACTTCTGATACAAGCCAGGGCCTGACCCTGACAGCTCTGACCTTACCTGTAAGGCCCAAGAGTACAAACCTGTATCTTCCATCTCCCCCTAACTCTTCAAACCTCACCTGCCAGAACTGCTGTGCAGCCAGAACTAGGTGCCATAAACCTTCCCAGTGAATGCATTGCTTGACTCCAGTTTTCTGATCTTTTCCCAGGGGACCCAGGACCACCCACCTGTGCATCGCAAAGCTGCTCGAATGTCACCTGAGGACACAGTCTTGACCTAGAGCGATTGTGGACTCTTAGTCCTCACTGGTCAGACTCAGCTTTGGCTCCAATGTCCTTACCTGACGAGCAAGGTCTGCTACGTGTACCTCATCGTAGCTCCTCGGGCCTCCCCTGAGCAACCCGATCATACACCTTAGATTCCAGTTCCTGAGACCTCAGATGGAAGTGGCTCCAGAGACCACACCTGAGACTCCACTCTACATACCTGACGGGAACAGGTGCTTCTCTCAGACCTGACAGATGCCAGGTGGCTCGTCTCGACCTGAGGGATGCCTGATGAGAGCCCAGGGCTGCCGTGTCTGATGGACTTGGGCCTCAGACATCTGACCTGCAGACCGGGGCCTCTGGACCTTTCTTCACCATGAGCCTCTCAGATGGCATCCTATCGACATAGCTCCTCAGTTCACCTGTCTGCACTTCACCTACTTCAGCTCCCCGTCCTCACCTTTTATAACCAAATATGCTTGTATCTGTCCCTCACTTGGGCTCATCAGACCCCACAGCCGGCCATGATACCATAGACGATGCCTCGGGCTCAATATGGTCCCTCAGAGGCCTCTGTGGCTCGCTGAGCTGTGCCCGTCACACCTGGTGAGGTGCTGAGACCCAGGTTGCTGACCTGTGTGCACCTAATCCTGGTTCTAAACACCTCGCCTGCATGATCTGCCATCTACTACCTGACGCTCGTTTTTCAGAGCTGCTCAGAGAGGGGCTGGATGGCAGCACTGTGATAAAGCACGATGCTCTCTGAGGCTGGTCTACGTGGAAAGGTTCCAGGTTCGTACCAGGAGACCTGAGGATACCAAGTGCACACGTACCTATGATCCAGGGCTTAACTGAAGCTGGGTGGATCGCAGCACAAGACCCTGTTAAGAGTACTGTCTCTCTGTCTCACGGAAGAAATCGATTAATAACCTTCTCTCTGTCTCCAAAAAACAGCTCTCCAATATGACCTGACTCTGGCTTGCCCAGAGACCCCAGGGTCGGGCACCATCCCCCTGCTGATCCTGACACACAGGGCTGTCCCATGACTGACCCAGACAGGCCGATCACTTCCACGTGCTTCTGCCAGCCTGGACTATCCCCATCTCACTCAGGGTCAGTGCTGTAAGCCAAAGCCTGACCCTGTCCCTCTACTTCACCCAACAGACTCCCAGCTCCAGAAATTTCACCTGTGCCTATCCCTAGGCTCCTCAGACATCACCTCCTCGATTCAGCATTTGACAGCCTAGGGACTCAGGCAGGTCCCTCCATGGTGCCGATTCTGACCACCAAGGTCTCACTCAATAACTCTGGTCCTGTATTCCTGGGCCCAGCTGTCATTTTAAGCCTCACCTAGGAGACCCATTCCTCTTCCTAATTCAAACCCCAACCATCTCTGTGTGCTGGGCATTTATGGGCAGGAAAACCTTGTTCTGCTGGGTGACATGGTCAACAGGAGCACCCACATGGTCCTGCCCACCACCTGCTTGGGCTCTAGATCCTAATGAGGAGGGGGAGGGGTCTCCCCCTGTTAGCAGGCCATGCAGCATTTGTTAGAAGCTACAGTCTCTCTTGACTAGGGTTCCCCATCTGAGCCGTGGGACTCAGATGATTCGAGCGACTATCCTCAATTCTTTCAAGGATGGTATATAACTAGTCCCATTCTGGAAAGAAGTCAACTCATTCTATGCACTAGGCAGCTTGCAGCATTAGGGCTTCATTCTCTCCCAGACCCCAGTAGAAAAAGGCCTTAGAGTTTCCACGTAAGGAGGCTACATCTGTGAACACCGCCACCCTGCAGGTCTCCAGCTCGAAGTCCTGGAACAGCCCCAGTGGGGAAACCCCTACATGGGTGATGGCCTCTTGAGCACCTGCACAGCCATGTGCTAGACAACTGCACCCATGCCAGCCACACCCACTGCGCTCTGTGCCCACACGGCACTCTGTCCTGTGGCCTGCACCCCAAGCCTTTGCAGCTGGGGGAGGCCTCAAGCTCGCAGCCCTTCTCACACCAATGCGGTGCTCAGGCATGCCTGCGAGAGAAACTCCTATCCACCCCTGGGCTCCAGCAGCTGCCTGTCCCTGCAGCCCTGCATGCTGCCCAGGCACAGGCCAACCTGGGCCCCAGGCTGGCGCCTCCTCTCTGCCCCCTCCAACTCCTGTAGTTCCTATTGCTCCTTTCTGGGCCTACGCATCATACCTGCCTCACCCTGCCCCTTGGCCTTTACGGACTGCGGCTGCAATTTGGAGAAAGGTCATCACTGAGAATAACTCACAACCTAAGCTCAGTGAGGGGGTTGGGGTGGCTCCGGTTACCCCACAGTGGGTGCTGCTGGCAGACACCCAGGGGAGCGTTAACCTGGCCTTGCAAGCTCGGCCTGCCCTGGGTGGAAGTGGAGCCCTCCTTCTGGGTAGCTCTTGCCCTACGAACCTCTCTAAGGGCCTGTCTGCCTTTCCCAAAGCCAAGCATGCAGCAGGTGCTCAGTAAATGCTGACCTGACCTCATGGGTCCCTCATCTGTGGCTCAGTGGTCACGACTTGGACTTACAATTCACCCAGCACAGGAAGGGTGTGTACTTACATCCCAGAACTCGAACATGTTTTGAGGGTCAATTCCAAACTCCTTTACTTTGGTCTAAAAAAGGCAAAGGGAGAGATGAAAGGAAGCATTTATTAGCTGGATAAGAACAAGAGCTCCCGGAAGCGAGGAGTTGTGCTATTTTGAGCTGTGGGAGACCCCCGCCTTCCTCAGAGCCCCGGCTGGAGCAGGTCTGGAGCACCCAGATTTGGGAATGGGGGTAGGTGGACAAGGACCTTCCCACCCAGAGCTGGACACCAGGCCAGCTCACATCCAGCACAGCAGCGGCCCTGGGCCTATGGAGTCTCCTGATCGGGGGCAGCACACCCTGTCCCTCCACGTGAGGACACAGCCACACACTGTTCTGTGAGAGCTGCCACCTGGGCCCATCCTCTGAAAAGCTGAGCCAAGAGCTTGAACCCGAGCATGAGCAGGGGCCAGCTGTCCTGCTCTTCCCAAATCTGGGAAAGTGACTCCACCCCAGGAAGCCTTAAGGAGATGGCCAACCCTGTTCTTCAAGGACCCAAGTTCCCAGAGTGGATGAAGCCAACAACCCTTACCTATTCCCCAGTGGAAGATAAGCCCTCCTGACCAGTCTGAGCTCTGCCTGCAGGAGGCAGACAATGGGCTATGGTCAGCCAGCCTTAAGACATTCTGCTAGTGGGACTCACATGGGAAGGTCCTGGTTTGTACCCTGAGACCTCCCTATGCATGCCCTCCCTCACATGTACTCATCATCTGGTCTGGCTGAGAGCGGAGCTGGATCATGGTGTGAGGACCCTATTGGGTTGCCTGTCTGTCTGTCTATCATCTCTCTCTCATGGAAGAAATAAATAAACTTAAAAAAAAACTTATTTATTTAATTTTATTTATTCATTCATTTATTTTAATTTGACCAGAGAGAGAGAGAAAAAGTGAGAAAGCAAGCCGCCAGGTCCAGGAACTCGAACCGTGGTCAGTCACATGGGAGTGTCCAGCACCTTAACTACCATGCCTCCTGCTGGTTCCCAGAAATAAATAAACTTAAAAAAAAAAAAAAAAGGATGTCCTGCTGGGTCCCCCATGGGCAGACTGGCACTGGAGGTGGTAGTGGAGGTGGGGGAAGAGGGTTAGGAGAGCCCAGGTATGGCTCTCAGTTCTGCCCCAGCCCAGCACTGGGCCTACCATAGAGAAGTGTTCCACAGGGAGACTGTGAGAAGAGGCAGGCAGGACACTCAGCTTCTAGTCTGAGCATCACAAACCAACACAATCACTATGTGGGGCAAAAAGTCGCATCCCTTCACTGGGGCTTCACATCGTTAGGTGAGAAATGGGATGTATGCCTCCTATGACCCCGCATATTCCGCATGGAAAGAAGCCAGTGGCAGAAGCCCCGGTGAGTCTTGTGCTTGCACTGTTCTGGGATTCGGGCAGGTCTGGAAGATGGATGGGTTAGCATGATCCCCCTGACTACAAGCCCCCCTCGGGGTTATGGAGGTTGGGTGGGAGAACACAGAGAAGTCAAGGATGACATGCAACTCCTAGGCATCAATCCGTCTAGCCCACTGGCAGAGCCAAGATCCCTCAACCCTATAAGCCACATCTTGGCTCAGGTATTCTGAAAAGCTGGGCCCTCCCAGGGCAGGAGCGTGAGGAGATGCACAGAACTTACCGTGTTGGTAGACAGGGCAACAAAGTGCTTCGCCACGGCAGACGACTACGAGAGACAGAGCCGCGTTACACCACCCTCATCCCAGAGCAGCCCTCCAAGGACAGTGACCCTCCCATCACTGGAGAAGCCAAGGCCCTGCGTGGGTTGCCCACTCCCAGCCTGTGGTTCTGAGACTGCTGGAGGAACCCACACATCAAAGTCAAGGTCAAAAAGGCAGAGGGGTCATGGGCTGGCCTGCCTATCCTACTTCATAGGCATACAAGGCTCAGAACATCCCTCCCCTGAAAAATGGGGATGAGCAGGAATAGATGATGCTACAGAACCAGGGGGCCTTGAAGAAAGGGCCACACAGGCCAGCTCCATGGTGCAGTGGGAATGCACTGCCCCAAAGATACCAGGTCACCAACTTGGTCAGCCCGAAACATGCCAGGTACGAGTGTAAGCACCTAAGATCTGATGGGCTGGAGCACTGGGGGAAAGGGTTCACAGCATAACCAGCCCCAGAGAGGGTGCTCATCTCTCTCCTCACCCCACTTCTTTCCCCTACCTTATGTGTGCATGTACTCTCTATCATACATTTTTTTAAAATTAAAAGAAAAAGAAAAAGAAAGGGCCACAGAAAAGGCCCTTAGCCAAATTAGAGCAGGCTCTGTCATGTTTGGTGTGCCTAAGGCTAGCAGAGCCAAAGATAAACAATATGTTTTGGGTTTTTTGGTTAAAGGGCACATGCACTCACCAGAGAGAGAGAGAGAGACAGACAGAAGAGGGAAGAGGGAGAGGGAGAAAGCACCCTCTGATGGGGCACGGTCATACCACGAAAAGGAATACTAGCCTTACAGAAAAGGCAGGCACCAGGAAGGATGCCTCCTGTTCCAACTCTAGGAGAAATAGGGCCAGGCTTGGCCGTGGGGCAGACAGGCAGGCCCACCCTTCTCTTCCCAGCCCACCAGGCACCCATGGCCAGGGAGCCCTGCTGCCACTCACATCCTTGGCCGACTGGAGAAACCACTCCTTTGCCGTCTCTGCGTTGGTGATGGTCTCCTGGGTGGTGAAGGTCTGCAACCAGAGAGGACAGCAGTCGGGCCTAGAGCTCAGGGTTGGGGTGGCCTCGAGCCAGGGCTCAGCAGCAGAGGTCATACAGGTTCCTGGTCGTTTCCACGAGTAATGTTTGCAGTAACAGTGACAGTTACGCCACGTAGCCTCCAACCCACACGTCCACAGAGCCACAGTGAGTGGCCATGTCGAGGGCGGGGCCTGGAAATGGCTGCATCGCTCTGTGATTCCAGCACTTTATGACCAGAGGGGGTCCCAGTAAAAGCCACAACCCCTACCCTAACCCTGCAGGTCAGTCAGGGCTGGGGCATCTCCCAAGAAAGGAGCTACGGCCTGCCTGGGCTCTCTTCAGCCTGGGCTGGGCTGGATCTCAGCATTCATGAGTGGATGTAACATTTTACATATATATTAATGTATAATATATATTATGTATATTTTATATATAGTATTAATATTATATATTAATGTGAAATAATATGAGTAAACGGGGCATAAATGACAATCATCAGGGCATGGCTCTGGGCTCAGAAAAAGAGCCAACATACGGGACAGATCTGGAAGAAGGCGGTCTCCCAGCCGGAGCAGAGATCTCCCAGAAAGAGTGGATGTGGCCTAAGACAAAGGGGCACGCTGGCAGCAGTTCAGGCTCTCTCGTCAGGTAAGATGTGTTTGCTGCCAAGCAGGGAAAGCTCTGAGGACAGCTGTGCTGACCGACCCGCAGAGCATGGTTTGATCAGAACCATCAGAGGGTCCAATGCCCAGGCAATGGCAGGGTACCCGTCTCCCCACCCTGCCCTGGTAGACAGGACTGGCCTGTCCAGACCCCATACCTTGGAGGCAATGATGAACAAGGAAGTCTCAGGGTTGAGGGCGGCCAGGGTTTTGGCAATATGGGTCCCGTCGATGTTGGAGACAAACCAGACCCGGGGACCTCCTGAAGAGTATGGCTTAAGGGCTTCTGTCACCATGAGAGGTCCCTATGGGAAGACACAGCATCACAGAACAAGATGCCAGGGTCCACAAGAGGTGGGAATTGGACAAACCAAGGCCCTCGGTGGGACCAGCAGTCCCAGCCCCTCACCCCCTCCCACGGCAGCCGTCTCCTCACCAGGTCAGAGCCGCCGATGCCGATGTTGATGACGTCTGAGATGGTCTTGCCTGTGTACCCCTTCCAGTCACCGCTCCGGACACGCTGGCAAAGGGCGAGAGAGCCAGTGAGCACAACCCTCCACATATATGCCGCTGCTCCAAGTCATCATTTCTTTCACGTCCTTATGCTCAGAATCCCGGTCTTATGTTTTGGGCCCTCCCAGCAGTCTCTTGACACCAAGTGATAGATCCCTACCACAGTCCCACCAACTAGACTTGATTTCCTACCAAAAAGTAGGCAGGGCCAGAAGGCAGTATAGAGGCTGAGGCGGCTGGATCCTACATGGCTGACAGTGCAGTTCAAATACCAGACCTAGTGGTTTGAAAAACATGCCAGGCATGCCCAAAATCTTGAGAGGAGAATGGAGGAGAAGGGAATGCAGCATGGCCATCTCCCCTGAGGGATGCTTTGTCACCTTTCCCCCCTTTCTCTCTCTCTCTGTCTCTGTCTCCAGTGAGCACACACACCCTATGGCAAAAATTAAAAACAAAAGGGACCAGAAACCAGCAGTTAGCGTAATGGCTATGTCACTGGACTCCCACGTAGTCGACCGCAGTTCGCATCCCGGACCCGGTGGCTTAAAACTCACGCCGGGCGCGTGTGCATGCGTGCCCAAGATCCCGAGAGGAGAATGGAGGAGAAGGGATTGCGGCGTGACCAACCCCCTTGGGGGGTGATTTCTCGCTTTCTGTCTCTCTGTCTCTCTCTGTCTTTTTGGCGAGCGCACGTGCCCTATAGCAAAAACCTCTCAAAAAAAAACAAAACAAAAACAAAAAACAAATATTCCAGGAATCTTGCCTCCCCTGCCAAAGAGAGTGACCTGTGCAATACTAGGATATTGAGAAAATGATGGTGTGACCCAGAGGGTAGATCTAAAAAGAACCTGCATTTTCTGTTTTGCAGTCCTGGATCAATCGCTTTCAGGAAAGCCATGTGGTGTGGACGCTCTTGGCCCTAGGAAGAAGCCACCATGGCAAGGAATGAGGCCTCTGCAAACAGCCAGTGCCAACTCACGGCCCGAGTACAGGAGCTACCTTGGAAGAGAATCCTCGTGAACCCAGGGCCAGTATCTTGGCTACCACCTCAAGAGAGACCCCCCCAAAACCAAAACCAGTAAGGTAAGCCACGCCCAAACTTCTGACCATCGTAACATACCAAATGCCAACTGCTATTTCAAGCCAAGTTTTAGTTCCTCTGTTATGTAGCAACAGAAAACTGACACAGATTTTGAAACCAGAAGGAGAGTATGAGCATAATAAAAATGTAAACATGCAAGCAAAGGCTAGGAAGACTTTGAGGAGAGTGAAGGCCTAAAAAACTAAAAGAGGCCGTGAACAGAAATCTGACCATCCTTGAGGAGGCTGTCTCAAGTGTGGGTTTAACAAAAAAGGAGGGGTTGGGGCTGGCAGATGGCATGGTGGTTAAGGTACTAGACTCCCACACATGGATGACCTCGGTTCAAGTCTCAGACCTGGCAGCTTGCTTTCTCACTTTCCCTTTCTCTCTCTCTAATAAAATTTAAAAATAAATAATAACAAATAAATAAAATAAATAAATCTTAAAAAAAAAAAAAAAAAAAAAAAAAAAAAAAGGAAGGGGCCAGTAGGGGTGGTTAAGGCACTGGACTCATGTGGCTGACAGTGGTTCAAGTCCCAGATCTGGTGGGACTCATGCCAGGTATGTAGATGTGTGCCCAAAATCCCAAAAGGAGAATGAAGGAGAAGGGACTGAAGTGTGGCCATCGCCCCCTAGGGGGTGAGTTCTCTCTTTCTTTCTGTGTCTCTGGAGAGTACATGTGCCCTATAGCAAAAATCTCTTTCAAAAAAGAAAAAAGAAAAGAAAGAAAAAGGAGGAAAGTCTATTGGAAATCAGAGGGGAAAGAATCCTTGCTATATAATAACAAAGTTTAACAACACTGTCATCTGCATTAACAAGGAAGTAAAAGCAGTCCCTATTGGGATCTGGATGAAGAGTCAGCACTTGGATTCACATGGGAGAGGTCCTAGTATCCCATGCCAGGATATCCTGCCTCCCTGGGATCTGGGC